TTTAAATCATATCAGCGTGAATCATTAGGAAAATTGGTAATACAAACATATCCAAACTTGATTTTTCTTTCTAAATAGCTATCGATGAACGAGGGTGGTCTATTGTATGTACATATAAGAATACTATTATCTTAATAATGACATTGCGTACGTTTTGATAATGAAACTGATTAAAACGAATCTTATTAGACAAACCATGTTTAATTCGTCAAAATGAGAGAGAGAAAGAAAAGATAGATATGGTGATAAGAAGTAGTATTCAATATCAAAGTCCATAAAACATTACAAAATAGGAGCAGAGTAAACACGGACCTCCGAAACATCGGAGATAGGATCAAGTGCCATAGAGTAGTAAGCATCCACTGCTGACCTGTCACAGCCGCTGTGTGCGTCTTGTCGTGAAATAACGGAAAATCCGTCGTCAATTCTGTGTAAAATATTGGACTAACAATTAGTGTGAAGACGTCGGTCAGCATTTGTCTTAATGATAAATTGTGTTTGCTGACAATATCATTGTATCGACCATAGAATTTTTACGTAGGGCAAGCTCTTACGTATCGAATCAACTGAGATAAATATATATATATATATTCACCGTATGCAGATAATAAAGGTATATTGCCGCATAAGTAAGGGAAGTTGACGATAGAAAAGTTTAAGTCATCAAGTTTATCATATAGCTTGTTAGATTACCATTAATTTTTTTTTTCAAGTAAAATATCCAAGTATGAAACAGGTGTGTCTCAAACTCACCAAAATATATCGTATATACGTAGGAATGGAAATTACCATTGTTTATGGACAATACGCCGTCGATATATCTAAATTTCATTTCATTTCATTTCACGCATTAGATTTTGCACAAATTCTGCTTCATATGAACATAAGAACTTTCATTCAGCAGGTTTATTATCTAAGTAAATAGAAAGAGAAATGGGTGTCACATTGATTTCATACACTAGTGCCAGGTATAATAAATGCTTACAGCGACAATATTTACCGATTTCTATAAATATTTTTGTATTACACGTGCAGCTTTGTTTAATGAATTAAGGAAAAAGAGTAAAACTGAACTTTTACAAAATTCTCTTCGTTAAAATTAAATGCAAACATTGAAACATTTTAAATCTGTTGAGAATAATTTATTTTTTCAATGAAACACAGGGACTGATATTAATTTAAAGTTATTTAGTATTCAGAACGGTGCTATTGATTATCTTCTCATCTATTCAGTTACATGAACCATTGAGAAAATAACTTTATATTGATTACGACAGTAGATATTGTATGAATTATACCCCTTTACACTGTGCTGAAATCAACACTGAAGTTGAATGAATTTTAATTCTGACCTACATTGCATGAACTTACTTTTGATATTCGTTCAAGTAGCGAATCAGACACAAAGGTGTTGATCTTACTATTGGTCTTTATAAACTCTGTCTGAATACAAAACGATGAATTTCTGTTTATTAATTAAGTCAGTATTAAATTCTATTGCAACACATACCGAAGGTTACATTTTTTTCTGTCAATTTTTAAAACAATTAATTTGGTTCTTATTATTTCTTTTACTGAATTGAGGTGTTTTGCTGAAATATATGAACGGTTTAAACTTTAATGTCAAATTTAATTCCATGCTTATCCCTTCATCCCGTGGATATGTATGTATGCTTAATAAATCAGTTATTAAACTTCCAATTTATCCTTAATTAAAGTAGACGAACATTTTCAAACGTAGCATTATATAAATAAATAATATAGTCCTAGAGAGCGGAATCTCATTTGTATTATAATTAAACTAAATATTTGAAGACATGTGGCGAAAATATTTCCAAACTTTGTTTCCATTATATTGCATTTTAAATATTCATGTGAAAAACCCACTTAAAATTCGTGATAAGAGGAAACGATATAAAACATGATAGCTTTATTTTCTTTGATTTTAGAAAACTTAATGTTTTTATGAACGTCTGCTCCCCCAGGACTGGAAAAAATCAGACAAAAATTAAGCGAGGTTGAAAACTACATCCACAATTATTAAATTCGACAAATATTTGTAGATACTGCTTTTAAAAAGCTCTTTTTTCATATCAATTTTTTTTTTAATATTTCCAGATTCATTTTTCTGTTGTTGTTGGTTGCTTATTTGGTCAGTCTTTTGTTTACCAAGTAGAGTGTAAAATTAAGATAAAGGCAACAGGACATTTAACATGATCATTCACGTAAAAGTCACATCACATTTGCAAAAAAATAAACAAGAAACAGGCAAAAAAACAACGCTAATGTAATAAATTGATTTAAATATGTGTGCAATGATGTCATTTTATTTTAACAATATTTTGAGCAAGATTAATTCAATATTCATGCATATTCATCAATTTCATTTTTGCCATGGAAATTTGAATATGATTGCAAAATGTATTCCTTTGGTACGCTGATATCTTCTGTGTGACTTTATAAATGCAGCAAACATTCAAGCTGTTTAAAAAAATCCTTTAAAGCTAACAGAGAGCCGGTGTAAAATACGAATAATGACCCCCATCGAATAATGACCGGTGGGTTATTTTTCAACGAGAGAAAATGATCCCCATCGGTAGAAAAAATCTTTTGTAGAAAAAGAGCACCAGGGTAATTTTTTTTATTTGTGTGTCCCACAAAAAATTGAATCGTTGAAATATAATCTCTTTTAGAGTCATCTAAACTTCCAACGTTTAAATTGATGCAAAGCATCAGATCGACAGCAAAGTTATATCATTTTAGCATTTTCAAAACTTTTCACAACGAATCCATAGGAAAAAATTAAAATAAAATACAGATACATGTACTATGCCTGGTACATATCTGGATGTAGTCCATTGATATGCCAATGTTTTCCATGTTTCTTATTAATGCAGCAACCAACCATGCATTTTAAGAAGCTAACAGTAAGCCTGCTTTGTTAAAATGTAGATAACCGTAATACTATCAAGTGCATACCCTTTGTCTGATAAATTACAAAATGGCAAAATAATATCAATTACATGTAGATTACGGAGTAATTACGTATTGGATGTAAGGATCCCTTGCCTAATGAATGTTTATTTTCTAGTTTTTTTTTAAATAAAAGGTCAAGGAATTTAATCAGATATGGAACCCATTGTGGCCTCAAAAATATTTTTTTAAAAAAACATAAGTAATGTAATTGATTTAATTTTATCAGAATTTAAGGAGAAAAATATTTTTTTTTAATGTTTAAAAGTTACATCTGTGTGAAGCGTATCTGTTATTTGGTAAGACGGTATTGTCGAATGGAATAAGGTTTTCAGCCAAGAATTGTCCAAATTTACTTTTAATCAAACTTTATAGAGGTTTACACTGTAGGTAGTTTGAACGTAATGCTTCTCATTGCTAATTCTTTTTTTCTTGATATATATTATACTTTTTAAGGGCGGGAATTTAAAGTTTGATGTTGTTTTGATTGAAATATATCTTTTAAAAATATGTATGTTCTCAGATATCATCAATACAATTGCTTAACACTAACTATCCGTTATCTGGTGGGAGAATAATCAAACGACAGAAACATGTTTCCTGTACAAAGCAACCTCCATTTTTGTATTTATTGTCAGATGTGTTTTATAGCTAGAACCTGAGCCTATCAAATATCCAAATGAAACATTTACAAATGGAGATAATTAACAGTGTTTAAGCCTAATAGTTCATTAGATAAAGCTAATCAGGAGCAGCGCACACACGGACCATTAAAATATCAAATCACGTGCCATGGAGGAGTGAGTATCCCCTGCAGACGGTCACATACGCTGTGTGTGCATTGTCAATATCAGGAAATTTAAAAAAAAAAAATGCCAATAAATCAGTATGTAAGAAATCGGCAAAAGTTGCACAGATTAAATGGATAAGGAATCAGGAAGACCAATCTTTGAAAATGCAAAGAATTTTTTTTTTTCTTTTTTGAACATATTTCCGAAAGCACATCACCTGCATCCACATAAACGGTGTGTGGTAACGCACTTTGAAAAAATTACTCACTTTGAAAAAAATTCAAAGTGCGTTAAAATTGGGACAAAATAAACGCACTTTGATAAAAAACATTTCAAAGTGCGTTAAGAGTGTACATGTACTTTTTTTTTTTTACCACGGGGACATTTTTCGCACTTTAAAAAAAAATATGCATAAAACAAAAAAAAATTGACTTGAATTTTCGAAATTTAGAGAATCAATTTGTAATGATTGTATCTTTCTAAGAACTTTTAAGAAGTAAGAAGTAGAAGGTCTCTCATTTTAACTTGTTTTTTCGTATACATTCTATATAGAGCCGTTGCCAGCTAGATCGCTAGCAAGTTGAAAGATGATCCCCCCCCCCCAATGAGGCCCAATTTTCAATGCCTATAATATGTATATCTTTGCAAAACATTCGGTAACGATGTCTATGTTACACCTACATATATGTATTTGCATAACTGGTTGACAGTTGAAAACCTTCAATAATAGAGCCTCGTCGGATAAAAAAAAGGTCCTTCTCGAGAAGACACGATTTTTTCTATCACGTTTGATACGATAGACAGAGTTGGAAAACATGGTCATTGTATCATCTAAGAATCTACGAAATGTTCAATTTCACATACATTGTATCATGTATAAAAAGGATATGATTTTTATTACATTTTTCAACATCTGTTTCAGTGTCTAAATTATCATTTTATCCAGAAATGTATTCCTCTTTTACATTTCCTTGAATCAACAGAGTATTGAAAATGGTTGTATTTAATTTTAAAATACATTAAATCATGTCCTTTATCAAAGATTTGTATCAAATAAAAAACAAGAATGTATTTAGATAATGAGGAACAGTTTAACATGATACACATTTTACGTGTAGTTAACATTTTAGCTTCAACAATTAACATTTATATATCACGCAGGTATTATATATCCTCTAACTTCTTGTACATACGCCTAATACGATCCCGATAATTTTTAGATTGTGTTTTTCTGCCATGCCCAAGGATTGTAACGAACTTTGTGAGGAGGGACAAACCATTACAGGGGTATATGATATATACCCCTACAGAACATTAACAATACCGGTCAGTGTGTACTGCGATATGAACACAATGGGCGGTGGATGGACGGTAGGATTTTTTAATTTTAGAAATAAAAGTCCTTAATATAACAAACCTTGTTTTTATTGTTCTGAGGATTGTAGGATTTCATTGTAGTTCATATCAAAACATATAGATACTATGAATGTTCAAATCAATAAATTGAATTGTTACGCATGTTAATTTTCAAAGGCCATTTAGAAACGCGTAGACGGATCAGTGAGTTTTGCGAGGAACTGGACGGAATATAAGAATGGTTTTGGTTCACCAGAACAGAATGTCTGGATTGGTAAGTGTAAATCGCTTTCACATAAGAACTTTTTATTCCTTCAAAGTTTGAAGATGAAAAAAATTCTTGTGGCAGGTAAAAAACTTAAGATTAGGTAATGTGTGTTCTACGATTTTCAGATATCGTGTTTAATTGATATCTCAAACAATTTTTAAAAATATTAGAAAAGAAGACTATCATCTAACGGCATATTCTAATGAGACCAAATGTAGCATTATTGTCTACAGCTATGGAAAATAATTTGATTTTTCATTACGGTAGATTCATATAGATTTTAAAAGAATTATTTGTATTCGATGAACTTTTCAGATGATTTCACATATATCTTAATACAGGGAATGACGTAATCCATACATTAACAAACGAAAAATCGTCATCCCTTTATGTGTCCATCACTCTCCAGAATGGTACAACGCTGTATGAATTGTACGACCGATTCTCTGTCTCCAACGAAGCAGGGAAATATCAACTCTTTCTTGAAGGACCTGCCACGGGGACTTAAGGTCAGTTTATTCATGTTAGGTTCTTAAAATCAGGTTCAAATTACGTATATCATCATAATAATTCTTTACTGTATTGAAATATTATTAAGTGGATTAAAAAGAGAAAGATACGTTTTTCTTTTTTTTATGTTCTGTATACGTTTTATATTCCATGCTAATAAAACATTTTAATATATCAGAATATTATTTGCAGGTACAATTCACGTATTCAGCAGACATTGAATTTGTTATTTTCAAGTAGCTAGAATTTCAAATTATATTTTTTATGTACAAGGAAAATTATGTAATTATTTTTAACAATCCAGTAATTACTTTTGCTAAACCATTGTTATTCAGCTAGGGTTTCCTGATAATTTTTAATAATTCACATTTTAACTACTACGGAGAAAGAAGTTTAGAGTTTAAATGATCTATTTTGTCAACATACCCACAAAGTTTGATGTTAAAAAAATATTTTTTGTTCGGTAACATATTCAAATTTTTAAAAAGGCGAATTCAAAACACCACAACGTGTTTCACGTTTTCCATAACTTTTCTCAATTTAATGAAAATCTTTTCTAATCTTCAATAATTCATATTATAAATACTATGGAATCTGAAGTTTACAGAACGTAATTAATCTTAAATGTCGAAACCTTTACAAAAATTTAATGATAAAAAAATGATCGAAGATTTATTCAAATAAAAAAAGTTTAATAATCCATATTCAAACACCTCAGCGCTTTTCACATTTACAAAACCCTATGCTTTATTTAATGAAAGTCTAATATTTTAAAACATTTGCAGGTACACCATATCTGATATCGTTATAATTATGAACGAGTTACTATGTATTGCATTTCATACAATTTTAAAATCACTGTCTAAGACATATATGAAAATTTCATTTATTCATGTTTTCTGATATTTTCAGTGACCTTAACCCCCCCCCCCCCCCCAATTAAAAAAAAAAAAAAAAAAAAAAACATGCCTCAAATGTGTAATGCGCTTGTGGTTTATTGTTACACCAAGAGGATGCTATGTGAATTGCACAATGTTTTGTTGACTTGTATTTTTTTTTAAATCTCTCTTTACAGGAACTAAACTTTAAAACTGTATATCTCAGACGTACTTCAGTATTAAGATTAATGTGATTTTAATCAATAAATAATAATAATTATATCCCTGTTCTATATTTTCTCTTATTCTGCAGGTGCCAGTATTATAGACAATGGGGATTCTATGAGTGCACAAAATAAATATTATCGCTCTTCCCAGCACCTAAGCCGTCTATTTTAGAAGTATACCTCAGTATTATTAATGACAATTACATGTATATAGAAGATATATAAATCAATTAACTTTGTGATTCATTTTGTTTAATTTTACAGGTGACTCTATGATAGACACTGGTGATTCTAACAGAGATCTGTCTGGGATGTTTTTCTCCACCCCGGACAGAGATAACAACAGATTGTTTGGAGATGAATGCTGTGTTTATTTTTATTGTTACACTATTGTATTTCAGGAGACAGCATGAGACGTGACATTGATCTATCTGGGATGTCATTCTCCACCCCGGACAGAGATAACGACGGGTCTCCTAGTAACTGTGCTGCTTACAGTACAAGTAAGTAAGTAAGTAAATGGTTTATTATAGTGACATGTGTTATATACAATTACATCAGTTGTCAACAAATATACATATATTAAGAATTGAAACACCCGGCCCATCGGGCCTATATGTCACTTTAACAATATAACATTCAATAATACAAAGATATTACGCATTGCGTTTACTATAAATAATAGATTGTCTGTAAGTATATGCTGAATATATGAATTTTTCGATCTGCCTTGGGAAATTTGATAAAAGAAATTTTGTTTTGTCTAAATCTGACATATCATTATCAAATAAAGTTGGGTTAAATTCAATACTGGAAAAAAAAAATTGCTCTTAGATTTGAATTTGATATACAAAGAAGCAAAAAGTGACATTCATCTTCTACACTATTTGATAAACATAGAGTACAGAGTCTGTCTGATAAAGCCTCCCCCTTATATCGTCCTGTTTCTATCCTTATAGGTAACACACCGCATCTAAATTGAGCAAGTATAGAACGATGGCATTTTGGGATATCCATTATTACATATTTCTCGGTTTGAAAATCAGATTTTACGGCTCGGTAGGTTCTAAGTTTTGGGACGTTTTGGAGATCTTCATTCCATGCGTTTAGAAATTTTTGACGAAGTTTTTCTTCTACTATGATTAAGTTGCAAGCCGTTTGATTTTGGAAATAGGTAGACATATCAAGAGATTCAAATAGGAGTTTGACTGCATGCGACCAGTTTCTGTTGTTTGATAAAGATTGTTCCAGGTCCCACAAGAATATTTTTTTTCGTAAGTCTGTCGTCCAGCATTGTAACGAGTCGATTCCAAAGACGTATAATATTCAACTGATGTCGATAAAATGAAGGAAGCCAACCAACTTCTTGAATTGCTAGTATTGGCGTAAATCTATGCACACCCAGGAAGTATTGCAACGCACGATGCTGTACAGATTCCATATTATGATGTCTGTCGTAACCCCAAACTCCACTGCAGTAATCCAAAATAGGTGCCACTCCGCTCATGTACATTTTTTCGTATGTTTTGAATCCTATTGATTTATTCGAATGCATTTTGTATGTAATAGCTCCTAGTGCGCGCCCACCCGATTTTGCAAGATTTTCTGCGTTGTCCTTAAATGTGGTAAATTCGTCGAACAAAACACCAAGATATTTATAGGATGATGAGTACTCAATGCGATCTTCTCCTAAGGTAAATAAATGGTCACTTCTTTTCCGCTGTTTTTTACGGAAGTGTACTTCTTTAGATTTTGTCGGGTTTATACACAATCTCTATTTCTTGCACCAGTTGGAGACAACATCAAGAAGTGCGTCCATGTCAGCCTCGTTCTGCGCAATCAACGCTATATCATCTGCTTATAGAAGGATGTTTAATTTGTTGTCACCAAATTCAATTCCATTGTTTAGCTTTTTTACTTGTATAGCGAGATAGTTGATGAACAGAGTGAACAACGTTGGGGAGAGATTATCTCCCTGTCTAACTCCCGATGTACATCCAAACCAGTCGGTGTAATGGTTACCCAAACGAACACAGGACTCAGTTTTCTGATATAACGATTTCACCGCTTGATAGAAATGCCCGTCCACTCCATTTATAAGTAATCTGTATTCCAACAACTCTCTATCCACCATATCAAATGCTTTTTTAAGTCAATAAAAGTAACAAACGTAGAATTTCTGTTTTTGATTATACTATTTAGGGTAAATACATGATCTAAGCAGGATCTTTCACATCGGAATCCGTTTTGCTTTTCGACTAAAAGATCGTTATCGTCAAAGTAAGCCACCAGCCTTTTGTTCAGAATAGAACTGTAAATTTTAGTTACAACAGAGAGAAGGCTTATTCCTCTATAATTCAGTGGAAGGAGAGGGTCTGAGGATGGGTCCTTTAGTAACTGATAAATTATTGCTTTACGCCACATTGAAAGTATAATTCCGGTTTCAAAGTACAAAATAAACATCTTATGGAGAATTTTTATAACTGTGTCCGACTTAAGTACCTCATTTGGAAGCTCGTCTATACCACACGATTTTCCTGATTTAGATTGCATAACAACCTTTCGAACTTCCTCCTCTGTAATTTGGCTATTGAGATAGGCGTTCGGTACGTAAAGAGGATCGAACATATTACGTTCCATGTGTTCTTTATGCAGTACAGCGTTGATTTAAAAATCATCGTCAAATTTTTCATCATTTTCGTGATTATATAAGTGACGAAACTCCTCTTCCCAAGTATATTTCAATGTGTCGATATCAGAAGTAACCTCCCCATCATCATTATAACATTCACTTGGATACTTAATTTTACGTTTAGGGCCCAGTTTTTTAATTTGATCCCAGAATTGTTTTGGGTTATTTGAACACACTGATTCGATATTAAAGGCCAGATCTTTTTTGTGTTTTCTTTCGTAAAAACGAATTCGTTTATCCAAAGCATTTTATGATCCTTTGTAGCTTTGTCTATATGTTTGTTTTAACTGCCTTTTTGTAGGGTCACACTTCAAAAACGTTTTTTTCCATTTCTCGCATGTGCTTCCATAATTCCGTAAGTTCGTCATTCCAGTAAGGCTTGTGCGGACGGAGACGTTTCCGTGTTTATTTCGAACAGTCGTATATAGGAATTTTCTCCGACATCTCACGAGTCAAAATATCTCGGAATTCTCTGTATAAATTGTCCACTTGGTTTTGGGTTTCACGACAACGCTCGATCTGTTCGATTAAAGAGTTTATCGCTGTAAGTACATTAGGTGACCTCATGAAGTCGGTAGGGATTCGTCTAAAATTGAATCGTTTTTTGCTTTGTTCATTACGTTCATTTCCAGAAATTAATTCTGAATACACTCTCAGATCAAACAGTAATGCGTTATGGTCTGGAACTTTACTCCTTTCTCCCAAAAGGTTAACAAGATTGTGTTTTTCGACTACGTCATTGCACTTTATAATTTGAAAATTCTGACACAGTGAGAAGTTTTCATGAGGAATGCAGATATAGTCTACAACTGAGTGTCTACGGGTTGAATAAATCGTAGATTCTTTAGATTCGTCACCAAAACGACCATTCAAAATACAACATCGACTATCGTTTAAGAATTCTAAAAGTGATTTACCGTGTTGATTTTGAGTTTTATCAATAGACTGACGAGAAGGAATCTTATCGAAACAGTCATTAGTTTCTTGGGTATTTCCAATACGAGCATTCAGATCCCCACATAAAACAATAGCATCAGCTTCACAGTGCAGATATACTTCTGTCAAAAGATGCGAGAAAAAGGATGAGGCGTCGCGACCCCAGGGCGAATTCTCAGGAGGCAAATACAAAGAATACACATTGAACGTAAAGTCGGTGACTTTATTTGAATATTTCACACCCAATATACCCTCATATGATTGGTCAATTATTTCAACATTGTAAGTTTTGTATAAACTGGATTTAGTTAAAATGCCAACACCACCCGATCCCTTCGGAGCATGGATATGAGTTTGTGCACGATTAAAACCTATCCATATGTATCCATAGTCTTTCAAGTCAATAACATCTTTGTCTAATAAGTGAGTTTCATTTAGACTAATAATATCACAGTTTAAATATTTTATTATTTTAGATCTTAATGCATTATTAGCCTGCGTCCACCCACACACATTCAAATGTCCAATACGTAGAGTATCGATGGGTCGGGAATTTCCCTAATCGTGATCCTGTCGATCTTGGTCTGCTGTCTGAGTTTTCTTTATGATTCGCCCATTAGATGTAATACGGAATTGGTTACCGTGGGGCAGCTCATTGAGCAGCGTACGAGCGTTCAGTTCAATCAACCTCTCTGTATGTGATTTGCATGATCGAATAAACACAGTTTTGTAATCCTCTACTTCCCGGAGTTTACGTTTTACACGTAGAATGGCTTTCTTTTCGTCAAGTGATGAGTCAGCAATCTTAACGAGACCCGGTTTTCCTCGTGCTCTACCTTTAAGACGGGCAGCGGCCAGTACGGATACGCTCTCATCGAGATTATATATCAGATCGGAAGCAACTTGAAGTATGTTCTCGTTTTCGTCAAACTTTACATTCGTAGCTATAACTGTAAGATCTGGGTCATCCAGTGTATTTGCAATGTTACCATTGTTTACATGCCCGGTTGAATGCGACGACGACTGATCAGCTGTTTGAAAGTGTTCGAGTTTCTCAATGCGGGTCAACATAGAGTCAATAGACTGTGACAATGATTCCATTTCTTTTGTGTGTATTGCAAGTTCTAGGTCAATGTCACTTTTCATAGCTTTAAATTTTTCATCGATGTTGGCCATGAAATCATTACGAAATTTATCAAGTTTACTCTCTAACATCGATTGCAATGTAATTTGACCTTTCTGCAACCTTTCTACTGCCTGAGCGATAACTGTCATACGATCCAACATTTCGGAGGATTCACACTGATGACCATTCATGCGATCTTGGTCAGCCATTTTGGTAGTCTTGGACAGAGGCTTGGGCGTATTGCCATCAGAGGAAAGTCTGCGCTTATTCTCACCATTCATACTCATTTCATTGTTTTTAATAGTTCATAATTTCAAACATATACTCACAACTAATCTGCTTAGTCTTTCGGAAATTAAACAAATAGTCAATTTTTCACCACCACTGAAAAAGCACCAGCCATTAGTTTCACGCATGCGCATCAACCACAATTCAACACAATTCAAAGAGTTTTAAACGTGAATAATATATAAATATCTTTCTTTAGCTTTAATTGTTAAGTAAATAATAATGATCTAATTTGATATGTGCCCATGTAACACTTTTCTTTGATAATTCTAAAGGTGACGCTATGCTAGACATAAGGTATTATAGGGCAGATCTGTCTGGAAAGTCCTTCACCAAACCGGACAGAGATAACGACGGGTGGAGTGGTGGTCACTGTGCTGCTTACATTAACATGAGAGAAGGCTGGTGGTTTAACAACTTTCACCGGGCCTTCTTTAACGGTCAATGGTCCCCGGGCGACTGGATTGACCCGTGGTCTCCTACAGTGAAGTTGGGGACGTCAGTAAGGGGGGACTCTGATGATGATCAGACGGAACTAGGTAAATATATATCATTCTAATTAACATCACTATAGCAGAATATCAAGTATTTACTTTCCAGTACTAAAATAATTAGTTTAAAACTTTATTAGAGAAATTGGATAAGATATTAAGAGTATAATGTTCATTTTTTGAATCAATATTTGATTTCTTTTTTTTTCAGGAGATGGATATTGTTAAGAGAGAATAAGAACATATTGACGACCACCTAGCAGTCTGGCGAGCCATTTCTGACACAAAAGACAATTCTGTCAATCACGGCGTTATGTTTTATTATAATGTTTTGACGCCAACTAAGAACTTGTAAATTATTATGTTCTTGAAGAGGTCTTGTGAATAAACTGTTTTTTCTGAAGATTTTGTTGCTTAAACCTTATTATATTGAAGAGTGTTGTAATAAAATTTACTTTTGATATATCAAATGTTTGACTTTTATTTATGAATACTAGCACAAAAAGTTCTAAGAAGGACAGTTAGGATAATGATAAGTGTATTATAAAACTTCTTGTACAAACGCCCGACATTGAATTTTTTCTCTGCGGCAGATCCAGGAAGTACGAAGGGGGTAGCGATAGACGGTTTGGGGGTCTTGGAGCCGCATTAACATCAGATGATACAAACAAAATATGGATGCCAGGATTGGTATATATTTTTTGTCTAATTTCATTGTAAATGATGCACAAAATAATTTTTTTAGAATATCAAGAAATTATAAACCTTTTGTGATGTTCAAATATCTGCCCTTCTGAAACCATTCTAATTAATCTATACAAATATATTTCACTTAAAATTCCTTTTTTTTTTAAATATCAAGAAATTATAAACCTTCTGTGATGTTCAAATGTCTGCGCTTCTGAAACCATCCTTATTAATCTATACAAATATATTCACTTTAAATTCCTTTTTTGTCCAAATTTGAATTATCAAAAATTTGTAAAGCTTCTGTGATGTTCAAATATCTTCCCTTCTGAAACCATCCTTATTAATCTATACAAAAAATTTCACTTTAAATTCTTTTTTTTAGAATATCAAAAAATTATAAACCTTTTGTGATGTTCAAGTGTCTCCCTTCTGAAACAATCCTCATTAATCTATACAAATATATTTCAATTTAAAATCCTTTTTTGTCCAAATTCGAATAAAAAAATGAACTACGCGGTGAAAGTTATTCATTTTATTCATTTAAACATGACCCACGTTGTTATTTTCATATTCTTTGACACAAGTTTGTTTGCATCATATGTGACTGAGACTGGGAAAATGGGGCCAGATGAGGAAAATATCGAAATCTATTTTATTGTCTTGTCATTTTTAAATCACCACACTTTGAATAATACAAACTCAAAATTTCATGCAAATATCATTGAAAATAAAGAAGATACAGGCCCATGTATGCAGGCACCTTCCAGTCATATCGTAACATCAATGACGTTACCATAACGTCGTAATTAGAAAATCAAACATACGCTGGGTGAAAAAAGTGGTTTCCCATCATGGGAAACTTTATGGAAACCATATGGAAACCTCAAGTTTACATAATGTTTCCCAGTGGTTTCCGTAGCGGATGCTAGGTTATTCCGCCAAGTTTCCGTGACACGGAAACCCCCTACGCTCCGATTCCATAAGGTATCCCGAACCACGGAAACCTCTGTAAACCTGAAGTTTCCCGAACATCCATGTAGTTTCCCGTAATGGGAAACCTGAAGATTCCACTGGTTTCCAGAATCAGGAAACTTGATGGAATCGGAGCGTAGGGGGTTTCCGTGGAATGGAAACTTGGTGGAATCTTTAGGTTTCCTTTTACGGGAAACTACATGGAAGCTCGGGAAACCTCATGATTCCCTAAGTTTCCTTGACTCAGGAAACCATATGGAATCAGAGCGTAGTGGTTTCCGTGGAATGGAAACTTGATGGAATCTTTAGGTTTCCTTATACGGGAAACTACATGGAAGCTCGGGAAACCTCACGATTCCTAAAGTTTCCTCTACTCAGGAAACCATATGGAATTTGAGCGTAGTGGTTTCCGTGGAATGGAAACTTGATGGAATCTTAAGGTTTTCTTTTATGGGAAACTACATGGAAGCTCGTGAAACCTTATGATTCCTGAAGTTTCCTTGACTCAGGAAACTATATGGAACTTGTATAGCACTTTCTGTGTGGCGGAAACTTGGTGGAATTATCTGGAGTCCCATTCCTAATGGAAATTACTAGGAAACTTCAAAATTCCCTAACTTCTCTAAAGGAAGCAATGTGAAATAATGCGTATTCTTTTAAAAATCTATCAAAAAATTTCTAGCAAAAAATTTATTACATGTAAAAGAAAAAAGCATTACCATTTTATATGTTTAATAATTCATTTGATGTACAAAAACTGTAACTGAATTTTTCAATGATATCAAAATATTAAATAAATTCATATATGTTAAATAAACAATGGAACAGTCTTTCACATTTAAGAGGCAGTCCGCCGAAAAACCAGGCAGGGTTGTATTAATAGGCGGCACATCGAATGTGAGGAATATTTGAAATTTTATTGAAAACAATATCAATGTAGTCCAAATGGAATAATGTAATCGAAGATTTGTTTTAAAATTGCTTATTTAGTAAAATATCCTTTTGTTTCGTGTTCTTGAATTCCCCTATATAAACCATTGAATTTAGGTCAGAAACAACGAACTGTAATTTCCAATACTTATTTAATAGGACTATAATTCATGCTGAACTAAATCTAGAAATATTTCGTCTTTCAGTTTCAAAAATAAAATTGGTGGGCAAAACACTTTTGATTGTAGTTTTCTGTCAAAATAAAGAGACGTTTTTATGAAATTTTGCGATGTAAGAGTTATCTCCCGTAGCATCGGTAAATCTGCTAAACACCTTACTATCGAAATCCTAGTGAAATATTTAGAATATATACACAAATTAAAATTATATAACAAAAAATTACTACTTTATTTGCAAAATAGAATTCATTTTTGCCTCCAAACGTAATATTTAGATTAAGATTGGCAGTATTATTCAGGTTGAATCCACGTTTCCATTGATGTATCAGTGACGTCATATACCTGATTAATATTGCGTCACAATTAAATAGTTACAAGTTTTCAAAAGAAGTATGTAAATTTATTCTTTGCATAAAAGCGCAAATAAAACGATTAAAAATAAATAATTTCTCTTTTTCTGTTCAATTACTTTGCAGAGTGCATTATCCTACATGTTAAATAATCATATATTTTTATATAAAATGTATTTTTTTCACGGGCGACGTCTCAGCTAAAAGTAATTTTGTACATGTCCGAGAACTAATTTTTTTAAACTGATTTACTGGGCTATGCGTACAAATAATTAATTGTTTATATTGAATATTTCTTATAAAATTGGGATGTGAAGAGATTTTATTTTCTTCTTATTATCAAGGAAAGATGAATATTTTATATTTACGCAACATTTAATTCAAGTCAACGGAGTTGAGATGTTTATTTCATGAAATTTGTACACACACACACACACACACACACACACACACACACACCCACGCAAACCACTTGATTATATTTATCTATGCAGTCAAACCAAAGTAAACGATCCGCGGTACGATTAAAAATATTTTATTAAAAGAGTGAAAAATAAGATTTAAAAAATATTTATTGAGGAAAATTACTGTTGAACTCCCCACTTCAATTTGCCACTAAAACGGAAGACTTCGTGGGCGTATTTTTTGTTTTGTATTGTTTTTTTTTTTTTTTTTGTTTTTTTTTTTTTTTTTTGTTTTGGTTAAATTTGGTGATTGAAACAATCACATACTCACATTCAATATGAAGTTAAAAAATGTGACCATGTTGGCCAATTCTAAAATGTTTTCCCATTAATGAAAGTTTTTTTAATATGCCGCCTTGCCCCCCCCCCCCCGTCCCGGCTTTTTGTTTGCGATTTCTAGGCTCTTAAATAATAATACTATATATAAAATAACTTATTTTCTTATTAATGTAAAATTAAATTTTATAAGATGAAAATATAGGGGAAACGGCTTTTATAGATGACAGGTTTGAAAAATTTGGATAAAGCCGAGACTGTGCACATTTAAATATTTTCTGTATTTAGGTAGTGCAAGTATATTTTCGCCAATGATAGAATTGAACTCTTTAATTCACGAGAGAATTAAAAAAAACTTTAGTTGGAAATAAGATATTTAATAAAGATAAGCTGTTTACTCTCAGTTGTTGCATAATGCATGTACAAATACTTGTTTTTTAATATCGAGTATCAAGAAATCGTACAGATGTAATACATGATTGTAATCTTCATGTACGTAAAAGACATTAGTATTTTAAATAAATTGTATAAACATTTGAATCCATGGATAAAATAATTTTAAAACAGTTGACTAACTGAACAGAAATAAAAGACAAGCATATTTTTTTCTGATACATTAAATGCAGAATATTTCTAGTTTTACGGTAAAAACCGATCCCGATTGAAATAAAACCGATCCCGATTGAAAATAATGCAAAATGTGTAATTTTATAAAACTAAAGACAACTGCCACCCATAAGACATGTCCAAAAATAAATCAAGTAATTTTTTGGCCATATTACAACAAAAAAGCCAAATTTGACATTACAATTATAGTATTTCCTCTTTATATAATTCCGGTCGGGATCGGTTTAATTGTGAAAAATTGTAAAACATAGGTAAATTTGACTCCTTTTATTTCTCTCAATATAAGGGTGCCCACAGATTTTATTGAGTGACTCAAAAGTTTGTACTTTGTATTCATAATAACATGAGAAAAAAAATCTTTCATTGAAATGTATTGGGTTTTATAACGTAATGAAAACTGGATAATGAATTCAAAAAGTTACTTGCTAAACTCAATTTTGGACCACATATTTTTTTCTAGAGAAATATAAATTGGAGTCTTATTCATTACTAAAATTAAAGATAAGAGTCTATGGTATAAATAATATTGATAGACACATCCAGGTTTTGCGTATCTGGTACATATAAAACAAAATAAAAACGTTGTAATTTTTTTACCCCCATGTTGACCTTTTTGCACCTAAGATTATGCATTTACCAGAAATAGGACTAGATGACCACTAAAAAAATTTTTGATGTTGTCATGTGTAAACACTTGCTTAAATAAGTCTATATGCAAAAAATAATAAAAATCCATGACATGCGATGTGCCACCCATTGCCTGATTTTCAGTGGACTGCCTCTTAAGTCCATTCATAAGGGTCATTAAGTACTTCTTTCAACATTAGTTTCCTGGTTTTCTTCACATCACCTATGATCTGCAATATTCATACAAAATTATTATATGATGTCAGAATTATAATGCTTGAATATAACTTAGAAATCTGAAAGATCAGTCAATGTCCTTTAATATACCAATATCAATTATTACTTTCCATGACCATGATACATATGATTTCAGCACTTAATGTATCTCTAATATTTAATGCTTTATGATAAGTGAAAAAAAAAACATAATATAAATAATGTTTTCAGCCTTATTATGTCATTGAGAATATATTACTACATGTATCTCATACTAAGAACCCTGCTTTAAGTTTGATTAGTTTAATAGAAAACATACCCTTTATAATAACAAAAATATTAGGGAGAGATTTTTTTTTTAATTTTTATATTTGTCCTAGAAATTGGTTGAAGATCATTGCAGACCCTCCACCCCATTGCACAAAAGCTAGATTACACCAGGGGAGAAATATACTCTGGACTACGATTTTAAATAAAGATATACAGTAGATTTTGATACTGACCTTTGACCTAGAAAATTAGTCCAAGGTCACTCTTCATCCTCTATCCACAGGCTCTCTGTAGTTTAAGTTTGAGAGAGAAATATGCACAGAACAAGTGATATCAGATGGAGTGATGGGTAGACACTGTCTTAGGGCATCCACATAACAGGACCTAAAAATAATGCAATATATATGTATTACAGTATATATACACATGTACTTGTATGTTAATGATTTATCATATGCTGCATTGGACACCTATGATTTTATCATGGTTTAAATATACATGTATCTTATGAGTAATTTTATACCGGTATTGCATGTATGCTCAGTTTATTTAAGAAATAAATAACAAGTTTATAAACTTCAATGGGAGAGATACCATAAATGTATGTATAAACAAGTAATTTAATTTTTTTTTTTTTTTGCATATATTGACCAACATTATTTACATCCATTCATCATGTTCATGAATTGGCTGATCAAAATTCAGTCAGTTTTAGATCTATATGATATACCAGAAAGGACTTTCAGATTTACAAAAGTTATTCCCCTTTGCAGGGTCAATCTGGGGTCAACCGGCTTAAGACGTTGTTTTCCCTCTTTAACCGTATCAACTTTGAGGGACAATATCTTAGAAATAAAATCTGTATGAACATATTCATTATGATTTTCATGTTGCCCCCCTACTCTGGCAATACAGATACAGATCGTAATTGTCCAATATTTTTGAAGATTGAAAATATTAACAAGTAACTTACAAAGGACAAAGTGGAACCAGAAGTCTCTGTCGAGACTGAAGCTCTACTGGTTTGAACTTATAGCAAAGGAAGAGAAAGTACTGAAGCAGCTGGGATTTGAGACTTTATAAACAGCATTAAATAGAATAATGATCGTTGATAAAGTATCTTTATGTTCTTAGTGTAGTCTACTTGTGTGCCAAGTTATACTGAAATCAGACCAAAACTGTAGGAGGAGTAGCATTTTGAAACAATTTTAGACATTTCTATTTTTAGTAACCACGGCAACACCGTTCATCAAAATTAAAATTAGATACACAGAATTATGTATCTTAGTGTAGTCTACTTGTGTGCCAAGTTATATTGAAATCAGACCAAAACTGTAGGAGGAGTAGCATTTTGAAACAATTTTACAGACATTTCTATTTTTAGTAACCACGGCAACATCGTTCATCGAAATCATAAACCGATATACAGAATTATGTATCTTAGTGTAGTCTACTTGTGTGCCAAGTTATACTGAAATCAGACCAAAACTGTAGGAGGAGTAGCATTTTGAAACAATTTTAGACATTTCTATTTTTAGTAACCACGGCAACACCGTTCATCGAAATCAAAAACCGATACACAGAATTATGTATCTTAGTGTATATTCTACCTGTTTGCAAACTTATGCTGAAATCAGATCAAAACTGTAGGAGGAGTAGCATTTTGAAAGAATTTCACAGAAATTTCTATTTTTAGTAACCACGGCAACACCGTTCATCGAAATCAAAAACCGACACATAGAATTATGTATCTTAGTGTAGTCTACTTCTGTGCCAAGTTATACTGAAATCAAACCAAAATTGTAGGAGGAGTAGCATTTTGAAAGAATTTTACAGACATTTCTATTTTTAGTAACCATGGCAACACCGTTCATCAAAATTAAAATTCGATATACAGAATTATGTATCTTAGTGTAGTCTACTTGTGTGCCAAGTTATATTGAAATCAGACCAAAACTGTAGGAGGAGTAGCATTTTGAAACAATTTTACAGACATTTCTATTTTTAGTAACCACGGCAACATCGTTCATCGAAATCATAAACCGATATATAGAATTATGTATCTTAGTGTAGTCTACTTGTGTGCCAAGTTATACTGAAATCAGACCAAAACTGTAGGAGGAGTAGCATTTTGAAAGAATTTCACAGAAATTTCTATTTTTAGTAACCACGGCAACACCGTTCATCGAAATCAAAAACCGATACACAGAATTATGTATCTTAGTGTATTCTACCTGTTTGCCAACTTATACTGAAATCAGATCAAAACTGTAGGAGGAGTAGCATTTTGAAAGAATTTCACAGAAATTTCTATTTTTAGTAACCACGGCAACATCGTTCATCGAAATCATAAACCGATACACAGAATTATGTATCTTAGTGTAGTCTACTTGTGTGCCAAGTTATACTGAAATCAAACCAAAATTGTAGGAGGAGTAGCATTTTGAAAGAATTTCACAGAAATTTCTATTTTTAGTAACCATGGCAACACCATTCATCGAAATCAAAAACCGATACACAGAATTATGTATCTTAGTGTAGTCTACTTCTGTGCCAAGTTATACTGAAATCAAACCAAAATTGTAGGAGGAGTAGCATTTTGAAAGAATTTTACAGACATTTCTATTTTTAGTAACCACGGCAACACCGTTCATCAAAATTAAAATTCGATATACAGAATTATGTATCTTAGTGTAGTCTACTTGTGTGCCAAGTTATATTGAAATCAGACCAAAACTGTAGGAGGAGTAGCATTTTGAAACAATTTTACAGACATTTCTATTTTTAGTAACCACGGCAACATCGTTCATCGAAATCATAAACCGATACATAGAATTATGTATCTTAGTGTAGTCTACTTGTGTGCCAAGTTATACTGAAATCAGACCAAAACTGTAGGAGGAGTAGCATTTTGAAACAATTTTACAGACATTTCTATTTTTAGTAACCACGGCAACATCGTTCATCGAAATCATAAACCGATATATAGAATTATGTATCTTAGTGTAGTCTACTTGTGTGCCAAGTTATACTGAAATCAGACCAAAACTGTAGGAGGAGTAGCATTTTGAAAGAATTTCACAGAAATTTCTATTTTTAGTAACCACGGCAACACCGTTCATCGAAATCAAAAACCGATACACAGAATTATGTATCTTAGTGTATTCTACCTGTTTGCCAACTTATACTGAAATCAGATCAAAACTGTAGGAGGGGTAGCATTTTGAAAGAATTTCACAGAAATTTCTATTTTTAGTAACCACGGCAACATCGTTCATCGAAATCATAAACCGATACACAGAATTATGTATCTTAGTGTAGTCTACTTGTGTGCCAAGTTATACTGAAATCAAACCAAAATTGTAGGAGGAGTAGCATTTTGAAAGAATTTCACAGAAATTTCTATTTTTAGTAACCATGGCAACACCATTCATCGAAATCAAAAACCGATACACAGAATTATGTATCTTAGTGTAGTCTACTTCTGTGCCAAGTTATACTGAAATCAAACCAAAATTGTAGGAGGAGTAGCATTTTGAAAGAATTTTACAGACATTTCTATTTTTAGTAACCACGGCAACACCGTTCATCAAAATTAAAATTCGATATACAGAATTATGTATCTTAGTGTAGTCTACTTGTGTGCCAAGTTATATTGAAATCAGACCAAAACTGTAGGAGGAGTAGCATTTTGAAACAATTTTACAGACATTTCTATTTTTAGTAACCACGGCAACATCGTTCATCGAAATCATAAACCGATACATAGAATTATGTATCTTAGTGTAGTCTACTTGTGTGCCAAGTTATACTGAAATCAGACCAAAACTGTAGGAGGAGTAGCATTTTGAAAGAATTTCACAGAAATTTCTATTTTTAGTAACCACGGCAACACCGTTCATCGAAATCAAAAACCGATACACAGAATTATGTATCTTAGTGTATTCTACCTGTTTGCCAAGTTATATTGAAATCAGATCAAAACTGTAGGAGGAGTAGCATTTTGAAAGAATTTCACAGAAATTTCTATTTTTAGTAACCACGGCAACATCGTTCATCGAAATCATAAACCGATACACAGAATTATGTATCTTAGTGTAGTCTACTTGTGTGCCAAGTTATACTGAAATCAAACCAAAATTGTAGGAGGAGTAGCATTTTGAAAGAATTTCACAGAAATTTCTATTTTTAGTAACCATGGCAACACCATTCATCGAAATCAAAAACCGATACACAGAATTATGTATCTTAGTGTAGTCTACTTGTGTGCTAAGTTATACTGAAATCAGACCAAAACTGTAGGAGGAGTAGCATTTTGAAAGAATTTTACAGAAATTTCTATTTTTAGTAACCACGGCAACACTGTTCATCGAAATCAAAAACCGATACACAGAATTATGTATCTTAGTGTAGTCTACTTGTGTGCCAAGTTATACTGAAATCAGACCAAAACTGTAGGAGGAGTAGCATTTTGAAAGAATTTCACAGAAATTTCTATTTTTAGTAACCACGGCAACACCGTTCATCGAAATCAAAAACCGATACACAAAATTATGTATCTTAGTGTAGTCTACTTGTGTGCCAAGTTATATTGAAATTAGACCAAAACTGTAGGAGGAGTAGCATTTTGAAAAATTGTTTACAGACAGACGGACAGACAGACGGACAGACGGACGGACGCTGGATGCATTACTATCGCATAAGCTCTTCTGGTCTCTGACCAGTAGAGCTAAAAATGAGCGATACGCCGACAATTGGAGAAAACTCTTAGGAAAGTGAAATTCGTCTATTGGTGATGACAATTCCTGTTTTAATCCTAATGTCACTGAAAAATTAAGAGACATTAAAAATTTAAGCCCTATTGTCATACACGCATACTGTTTTTTCATCCATATAACTTTTTAGTATCATAAAATTAACCAAAATTTAATACTTCAAATAATTTCATTAAATATCTATGAAATAAAGGAAACTCTAAAAACTTAGTGACTTGCAGAAATTATTCCTTGGAGAGAAAAAAATCTATCATATTTCATATGAATATATGCATAAGGAGCCTTTTTTATTCATTTAGAACATATGGTATGTGCCTCATTTCCCCAAGAAATTTTCAAAGACAATGGACTATCTGTAAGCAGAAATCATTGATGTTTACTTACATTGGAAAAATTTATGAAAATAATTAATTTCCTATTTTTTTTTTTATTTTAAATAATGCTAAAAATAATTTAATCTATTAAAAATAATCTAACTGACTGTAAAATAACATTTTTCATAATCTTAATCTATGGGCAGATCACTCTTATTTCATAAAACTACCTGATATTAAAGTAGAACTCTTTAGTGTGCAGTTTTTAGAGCTTCCTTTAAGTAATCAAAATACTGACCAGCAAGAAATCAGTTAATAAGCATTTCCTTTTTTTCATTCCAATTTTTGGAGAGATCTCAGAGTTTTTTCCTGTTCAATTCAGGTTCAAGATGACAAAGTTTTATTGGAGTGTATGTATTAGAGAACTGATTGTATGCCAATCATAGCAATACACACATAACATGGAGGGGGCAAATTGTTTCATCCCTAGCTTTTACATAAAACTTCTTGTAGCTCACAGCTGATATACCACAGTTCAGTGTTTAAATAAAATTTTGAATCTTTTTTTTTTTTTCAGGCAATTGTCATATACATACTAATCATGAATGAATTACCACTTACCAAATGACCACATCCTGAATCATCATACATTTTCTATGATTTTATCTCACTGGTTTTCTTTTAAAGTCACATAGTTTTCTTCTCTCTGAAATGATAAATTATGTCCAGGTACTATTGCATTCTAATTTAAACTAATTATGTAATAGCATTAGCAACAACCGGGATGGAAGAAAAAATAACCAGAAGTCTCTGTCGAGACTGTAGCGCTACTGGTTTGTACTTATCAAAAACTGATGCACAAAATTATGTATCTTAGTATAGTCTGCTTGTGTGCCAAGTTATATTTAAATCAGACTAAAATTTAAGGAGGAGTAGTGTTTGCAGACAGACGGACAGCTAGACAGACGGACGGACGCCGGACACATTACATGTACTATCGCATAAGCTCTTCTGGTCTCTGACCAGTAGAGCTAAAAACAAAATGCACTTGTGAAACACAGCAACAAAGTTCGAAAATGCAATTTTTTTTAGCATATAGGTCACAGTCAAGATCACATAATCATTGTCCTTGTTGCCATTTGAAAGCACTTCATTAGTGGAGTATGCATACTAAATATGAAGCCACTATCTGGTATAGTTCTCAAGTTATGGTGAAGGTTTAAGTTGACAACAGACACTCAGACAGACACACAGATATACCGTTATGGCAAAAGTTTGAACATTATAACTTGGTATACACACAGCCACTTCGAGATATCAAGGGTAAAATTCACAGCACAGCGGGACTGCATTTTGACTTCGAGGGATCAAGGGTTTCAAGAGATCAGGAGTTCGAGAACTCAAGAGCAAATCTGCTTAATTATATAGTGTAAAAAATAGGGACCGGAGACTCACTTCAAGCAATCAAGAACTTCCGAGAAATCGAAGTTCAAGCCATCAAGAGTTACCTGTATATACAGATATAAGAAGCATGTTATTATTTGCAATTTTGACCTAATGACAGCTAAATCTGTTCAGCAAGACAATACTGTGTACATGTATGTAAGTAGTTTTATTGTGCATGATTATTTACTTATTTTCTTGATCTTCTCAACTTGAAGTGTTCTATATTTTTATACCAAGTTTGTAATAAACATAATGAAACGTAGCCTTTTCCACATCACATCCTGTATCAGATCTTCGACCAATATCAGCCCTAAGGCCTCTGTCCCTCTGCCTGATATTGGTGTCTCGGGCTAGCATGTGATATGGAAAAGAGTATGTATTATTCGCTATACATTGACCTACTCAGGTCAATAATTGTAAAAAAAAAACTGATAATTCAAGCTGATGATTCATTTGCATTTCTTGACATACTATCAATATTAATTCACTATTAGGCTTTTCTTTTTTAACATCTTCATCTCAACAGGTTAGACATTCATACATGCCAACTTTCCCGATTTTTTCGGGAGTCTACCGATTTTGAACCCTGTCCACCGCTTGTCTACCGATTTATTTTTTTCACCCCATATCTACCGATTTTCGAAAATCCGGATTTTTTACCGATTCGCTTTGAATAATACAGTATTTCAGTATGCAGAAAACATGGCTGTTACAATGTTTATCGGTAGGGTATCTGTTTATTGCTGCTGATAAAAGGTAATCAACATGGTGTCAACTGTGCTACCAGTCATTACAGTGGTTTTAATTGCTCATGAACCTCATTAACAGTGTATTTTAACCTAGACAATTACGCCAGATGTGGAAATTTTAGAAATACACACGACAGGATTTACAGCAAAATTTGACAATATACGTATAAACCTTTTATAAAAGGTATTCAAGTTTTGGAAATATTGCATTTCTCATTAAATTATCTACTTCATGGAAAAGACACTGCCAAAATCCAACATGAAAAGATTTTCCTGCAACTACAAGTACAAAACCATCAAGAGTGATTCAGGAAAAGACCATGCCGTTGCAGACTTTGAACAAAATGTTAAAAATTAATTCTTGATATTCCCTCTGATTTAAGAAAAAAAATGTGCCTGTGACAGTAGACTTATGAAGGTTCATTCTCTATAAGGCCATTTTCCGGCCTACGATAAAATCACTTTAAAATGTGATTTTATATGAATATAATCATTCCCGTTCATGATTTCGATATTTGTTTTTCAACATCGATCATCTAAGTCACGTGATTTATGGATAAAAAAATGGCTGTAAGTTAAAGAAAAATTGAGGGTAGGGTCGATTCAAATCAAGTTTCTATGCATGTTTCTGAATATAAATGATCAAAAATTGTTTATTTATGTCGGAAAATACATAAGACTTAAATAATGAATTCGAAGATTTTTTAAATTTAAGGTTCAAGATATTTTTTATGACAAGAAGTCCAATGCATCCACATTTTGCATATTTTGAACTCAAATCTTTACGAAATTCACACTGTATGATGCTGAAAAAAGTTGGATTGGCAATTTATTTAAAACTATTAATCATAATTAATTAAATTGTAATTGTATATTATTTCTATAGATGTGGTACTTATTTTACGCATAAAATAATCATGTTAGAAATGAGGTTTCTAGGTTTGTATTGAACTCTAAAAGTTATGTATCAAATGCGGTAAGCACCAAATGGATTTTGATTTTGATTAAATAAAACTGACTTAGTAATTAAGAAAAGAAATTCGACAATTGCAAAAAATAAAGAATTAATAGCATAAGAATATCAATGCAAGTACATGCTGACTATCCATATACATGTAAATAGTCAATACATATAACTCAGAGCAGTTGCTAAGTAAAATGAAATAGTGTCGTAAAATAGCTTTGCTTTTATTTAATTACTCGTGTTGCACGATACATACAATTAAAAATGCCATCTAAACTTTATGTATTTACATGTATTAAAATTGAACCCCCCCCCCCCCCCCGTGTCTAACGGCACAACATAAAATGGAGTAGAATGTTAACAGTTCCTTCAAATATGCACATCTAAAGTTTTCGTATATATTATTATACGATCTTAAGAGTTCTACAACATACCAGGTACAAAATGGACCCTAAATGTTTGATTGGCCTTTCCACTCTTGAAACCTGTAGATTAAATTCAGCCTCTTTCCCAGTGCAGCATCAAAAACCTGTTTAACACGGATAGTGTCAGTTCCCTACCTAAGTCTCTAGCATTTAAGTTTAGCAAGTAAATGTCACGGTGTAGTGTCCCATACAAAGTTATTATCGGATTTAACCACATGTAACACAAACTAATCAGCCATACTTTTATTTATAACATCAACTTCCGGTTGAGTACAAGGGAGACAAATCACAATTAAATAAATGAAAGTTATCTTTCTTAGATCACGAAATATAATAAGTTTACTATAATAATCATACACTACAATCCTCCCCCTTTTAATTTAAACAAATATCAATTATTTCAAATAAATTGTAAATGACAAATCTATTTAGCAATTAACTTTAACACAGTCAATGAATCATTACAGTGTTTATAAATCATTGAAAAATATGTGAACAAAGGTTTAAACAGAACATGTTATTTCATTACATAGTCCTTGAATTTCACCGGCAAAGAGCGTTGACGAACTGGTCGGGCTAATTGCGGTGAACTTGTCGTCGGATCTTGAACATTGCTGTCGGATTCCTCTGCTGATGAGTTTCCTGATGACGCTTCCTGGACATCATCTGAAATCACACTTTTATCACACGCAACTTGATTAGGAACTGAATTTCCTGAACACAAATCTTTATTTCCATTGGAATTTTCACTTAACACATTTTCATTCACATTTT